AATATCCCTAGAGATGATACTTAAACACCACACTCTAATATCACAAGAGATGATACTTACATACCACACACCAATATCACTAACGATGATACTTAAACACCTCACTCAAATATCACTAGAGATGATACTTAAATACCATACTCCAATATCACGAGAGATGATACTTCAACACCACACTCCAATATCACTAGAGATGATACTTAAACCATAATCAAATAACACTAAAGATGATCATTAAACACCACACTCCAATATCACAAGAGATGATACTTAAGCACCACACTCCAATATCACTACAGATGATACTTAAACACCACACTCCAATATCACTCGAGATGATATTTAAACACCACACTCCAATATCACTCGAGATGATACTTAAACACCACACTCCAATATCACTCGAGATGATACTTAAACACCACACTCCAATATCACTCGAGATGATATTTAAACACCACACTCTAATATCACTCGAGATGATACTTAAACACCACACTCCAATATCACTCGAGATGATACTTAAACACCACACTCCAATATCACTCGAGATGATACTTAAACACCACACTCCAAAATCACAAGATATCACAACCTAAACATCCGCTGGTCGTTACCTTCAGCCTGGTGTAAACGAAAAAGCCAGAATTGCATCCGATCACAGCGACCGATGGACGTCAACGACCACTTCGCGAGCTGTAATCCGAAGGACAGAACGGTGGGGCGTGGGAGCAGACGACTGACTAGAGTGCCCTTCTGACGTCATGGCCGCACGCATCGATCCACTCCTATCAGCGTCCCAGGTCTGTTGAGGGTAAACGCGGACCGGTGTAAGATCACCCGCGCCGACAAAATCGTTCCCGTATCAATCAGCCGGCGGTTACTGATGTATCGCTTTGTAATGGCCATACATGGGTTAAGGCGATGTCATGGGATTTGTTGCGTGAAAATGTTTGTTGAATATTAATAGACCCCCAGAGGATAATGAGGAAGGTGTTCTTGATGTCATGTATTTTGGTGGTCGAATTGGGTGACACGAAGCTGGTAGTGAATGTTGGTGGTTCAAATGTGTTGATATGTTGTAAAGAATATTTTGGGTTAAAATGTCTTGATATAGTGTATTGAATATTGGTGGTTTAAATGTCTTGCTATATGTTACTGAATATTGATTTGGTTAAATGTCTCGATATGTTGTATTGAATATTGTTGGTTTAAATATGTTGATATATTGTAATGACTACTGGATGTTTAAATGTGTTGATTTATTGTAAAGAATATTGATGGTTTAAATGTGTTGAATATTGCACTGATTATTTGTTGCTTAGTGTCTTGATATATTGCAGTGAATATTGGTGGTTTACATGTCTTGGATATTGCACTGATTATTGAAGGTTTAAATGTCTTGAATGTTGCATTGAATATTGGTGGATTAAATGTCATGAATTGATACTGATATCTTGTAAAAACTACCCTTTTATTCAATCAATCAGCTGATGATTAGTGTACGTACCTGAGATGAGAATATGCACCTGTGATTAGACTACGTACCTGTGATTAGACTATGTACCTGTGATTAGACAATGTACCTGTGATTAGACTATGTACCTGTGATTAGACTATGTACCTGTGATTAGACAATGTACCTGTGATTAGACAATGTACCTGTGATTAGACAATGTACCTGTGATTAATCAATGTACCTGTGATTAGACTACGTACCTGTGATTAGACTATGTACCTGTGATTAGACAATGTACCTGTGATTAGACTATGTACCTGTGATTAGACTATGTACCTGTGATTAGACAATGTACCTGTGATTAGACAATGTACCTGTGATTAGACAATGTACCTGTGATTAGACAATGTACCTGTGATTAGACAATGTACCTGTGATTAGACAATGTACCTGTGATTAGACAATGTACCTGTGATTAGACAATGTACCTGTGATTAGACAATGTACCTGTGATTAGACAATGTACCTGTGATTAGACAATGTACCTGTGATTGACAGTTCGGGAACCATTGCATGATCCCATAACCTTAGGAAGCTTAAGTTGCTACCATACTTCGCAGGTTACTATAGATACATGGAGAGGGGGGTATCAAATGACCATTAACAATTAAGTATCTATACTTCTGACAACTTGTTTCATTCCAATCGACATAATTATATCTCGATAAGGCTCAATCAGTATCGGAAATCGTGGCGTTACGAGTCCCAACGTGTGAACATGGTTTAAAGTTTCTATATTTCTTTTCCTGACGTTTATCCTTCATCGACTATCGACTGTGAACACACAAAAAAAAAATATTATTGATTGATTCATGGGAGAGATCATAACATCTGGTAACTACTGACAACAAGAAACAAAGAAACATTGAAGAGATCTGCGCGACATGTCAGACACAATGCGTGACAAGTCCATCGGTTCTAGATACAACGTGTGGTTGCCTACCAACCACATGGCTGTGTTGATACTGATAGCTTTCGACAGTGGCGCCTGTTTGTTGCGTCCTGGTTTTATTTCTTGAGCCACACACTTTTGGGGCGCTTTTGAGTAGACAGACGAAGTACATCAACATGGCGATCTAGGAAAGACCATTTACTTCATCGCAGAAAAATCATTGTAAAAAAAAAAAATGTTCTATTTAGTTTGTTGAAATTTATGTTGAAATGAAAATGTACCACAATCAATCTTGATCACACGTTAATTTGGCTATGTAAATAGATTCAAAGCTTAATTGAGATATGTACATAAAAATCATTTTTAATTTAGTTATGTAAATAGAATCATAATTGAATATTTAGTGCTATAAATAGAATTACACGATAATTAAGTTCTGTAAATAAAATAAAAATGTTTCTAGTTATGTCCATATACTCACAGTTTAATTTTTTTTTTAATTAACGCCTTGTCCAAAAATTTTGAAAAAAAAAATTTACTGTTTCAGGCCAAAATTAATTTCAAATGTAATTTTTTTTTTTTAAGTCTATATTCTTTCCTTTCTAAACTGGTGTTCTAACTGATAAGGAGTCTTTTATATATATATAACTGTTTGTTGTTGCTATTTTATGGATACTTTGAAACCATGACTTACAAAAAAAAATGAACTTGGGATCAATGGTTATCAAACTTGGGATACATAATTATCAAACTTGGGATAAATAGTTATCAAACTTGGGATAAATAGTTATCAAACTTGGGAGACATAGTTATCAAACTTGGGAGACATAGTTATCAAACTTGGGAGACACAGTTATCAAACTTGGGATACATAGTTATCAAACTTGGGAGACATAATTATCACACTTGGGATCAATAGTTATCAAACTTGGGATACATAGTTATCAAACTTGAGAGACCTAGTTATCAAATGTGGGATACACAGTTATTAAACTACGGACACATAGTTGTAACACTTCACTGTCCAAAAGGAAATGCTGAGGGGTGTTTGATTTTTACAAAACAGCCCTTTTAGGATTGTGGGCCCAAAGTTTGGTTTTTATTTTATGAGCTACATAATTTAAAGTATAATTAATGGATAGCTCTAGACCAAGCTTGGTACGAAAGCACTTGAAAATCTATTTTTAAAAATATTCACCCCGGTCGTGGCCAGGGACATCAATTTCATTCTTCTTCTATGCGCTATATCTCTTGTTTGCATTTTTTCCAACAAAGTTTAGATTAAAACTAACTTTTAATTTTTAACTTAACCATTTATGGCCGTAAATGTTACCTATACGTTGATAAGGAATTAAGAGTAGTTGTTTTGTTTCAAAGCCGGGTGTATTGGCTAGTTCTTTATATAAAAAAAAAGACTACTGATAAAAAATAATAAGAGTGGAACAATTTTAAACTAATTTCTTAACTTTTTTACCTTAATTTTTCTATAATATAATGATAACAATTTTTCACCCACACCCCTGCAGTTGATTTCTCATTTATCAATATTTCCAAATGTTTTTCCCCTCATATACCCTTAATATCCGTGACACCACTGAATTGCCGCAGCTTAATTGTGAATTTACGCACTTAATCGCCTACATATCACAACTAGGAACAATCTTTTATTTAAAGCCACCCTGTCGCCAGAAATTGATTGCTGGCCAACAGTGGTAATTAGCAACTGAAGGCAGTTAACTGTGATTCATTTATTCCCGTTGTATTTACTTTATGTCATCGCTTGAGAAGGATGCACCTGCAATTAAATATAATTATTGGTATTTTGTACAAATGTATTGAAATTTCGTAGCGAGAGATAGCAGCTATGCATCCCGTGTTTTGTAATAGGTAGATTGAGACGAACAATCTTTGTGTTAAAGTCTAATAATAGCTGACCTATATCAAGCAATTCAAGATACCATAGCTTGTTTCTTTTTTTTTTAAGTAATTGGATTTTTTGCTTTTTTCTTTTTTGCCTACGTTATATTTCATTCTTTGTTGCATTCGAAAAAATTAATTGATGTTCTGCTACTGCTATTTTAAACTGGCCAGACGAAGTTTTTTTTTTTCCAGCTATAAACTAAAGCGTCTTTGTTTACGTGTAAGAAAAGATATTTAAGTAGTAAAGTAAAGCATTATAAATGGCATACAAAAACAAAATCTGGCAGCGTTATATAGAAGTCTCTTGCAGTGTTGCTCTGCTGTCGACTGGGGTAAAAGGTGACACAGCTTTGCTCTTATTTTATGATATGTGAGTATATTGATAAGCCACCGGCACTCGACTTGCTTGTCGACTGGGGTAAAAGGTGACACAGCTTTGCTCTTATTTTATGATATGTGAGTATATTGATAAGCCACCGGCACTCGACTTGCTTGTAGGTCACATAAGTGATGAAGTAAAACTCTATATTTTAGACCATTCCATTGGCTATCATGATGGAAAGTAATAGATCTGAAGGTAGCCGCTACACACTGGACAGCACCACATCTGTAGATACCCACCGGTCTAGGGACGTCGTCACATCCGTAGGGCCCTACTATTACGAGACTTTGCTCACACGGGAGCAATTGATGCTTCTCTTATTTATTCTCCTCTACATCTTCGACGTCATCATACTCTCGTTCGGCGTCCTCAGCAACCTCGCCAACGCCACTGTGTTTCTACTGTTGGGACTCCGTGACAGCTTCGGGATCACGTTCTTCGTGTTGACCCTTGCGGACCTGGCCTACGCGGTGCTCTTCCTCACACATATATTACTGAGACTCGTGGCGCACGTGGGCTTGAGCTCAAGCGCGCCGCTCGTACCCGTCGCGTATCTCATGTCCCAGTACGCGTCAACGTTGTTTGATATCTCGGTGGTCCTCACGGTGTTGCTGGCCGTCCAGAAATGCTGCTGTGTGTCCATGCCGCTCAAGTTTAAGAACGTCTTCACGACATCGAGAACCCTTTTCATGATTTCTTGCATCTCTGTTTTAATTGTCGCGACAAATCTCCCTATTTTATCAACCCAAGGGCTTGTCACCAAGAATGATTATATCACCAATTCATCATCAGAGGCTCTGTGGTTTTCAAAAGATAGGCCAGTTGTCACGGCGATTCACGAAGTTGGGAACCGTATAGTTTTGCCAATCGCATCAGTTTGCGTTGTTTGTTCCTGCCTCTTTGTTTTAATCCCCAACCTCAAGAGATCCATGAATTTCCGGAGTTCCTTTAAACTGACCAGCGACCCCAGAGTCCTCAGGATCGAGAACCAGGTAACCAAGGCCGTCATGAGCGTTTCGGCGATTTTCGTTCTGTGCAACTTACCGATCGTCGCCAGGGCGACGGCGTCTCTCGTGGAGCGAGAGTTCAACGACATGAGGCGGCACGGGTACATGTTTGTTGCCGTGGAGAACATCCGGCAAACGTGCCTGAACCTGAACTGCGCCCTGAACATTTTTGCCTACCTTGCGTTCAACTCAAACTACAGAGCCCGGTTTATGTCGTTATTCTGTGATCGAAAAGGATAATGGTTTGCAAAGATTTAATGAGATTATTTAGTCATGATCAGTATTCAATTTTGTACATGAAATGAGTGTACAAAATCAATGTATTATATCAAGGGAAAACGTGTACTTTCATGGCTACACCATCTATTCACCACAAAGCACTGTCGGTTGCCCATCTCACACCGTACTGTGAAAGCCTCTTTTGAAATGTTTATGTAATAAATAAATTAAAGCATACTGGTCATCACGTCTTTATAAATTCAACATATAACCGCTTCTTATTTTACAAACTCTTTATTTTATTGACATGCTATTTTAGCATGATTCTTTTTACCACAGTTGTATTTTAGTATTGTTCGTACTTCGCATGTGAAGATGACCAAGGCTTCGATTTGAGTAGTAGCCCTGACTTGAGCTGTGTTTTGTTTAAAATGAAGGAGAGTCGTTCAGTTCATCAACCTCACTTTCTCGTCTTTGTCTACCTATTCCAATGGTAAGACGTTGTTATGACGACTGGAAATGGACCAGGATGCTGCGGATGACCAGTGGTGTTTTTGTGTGTGTTTCGCTCCCCTCTTTATTGTCGGAAATTGCATTGTGTCCATGTCATAATGGCTGCGGGACTTTATCTCTCTTAGATGAGTTACCATCCAATGTGTCCCATCAATCAGAGATGAATTTTATCAGGCGCCTTACATAACGTCAAGATGGCCTATGAGTTCATTTGGAATTGCCGGGTCATTGCGGACGGAAACTAGCAGATGAGCAGCTTAGGAACATTGCTTTTTTTTCATTTAGAGTTTACAGTTTGCAAACGAGTCCAATTTATATTATTGCATTCTGAATTAATTTCGAAAGGTATGGCATCAATCCCATGTATGAGTGACAAAAATGTATCTCTACAAATCATTCTAGAAAACTAGAAAATATCACCCGATGTTATCGAGATCAAAATGGCAGGCACTTTTTTAACATTTCCACCTGCTATTGCCAAAAACGCATCACAAATCCGTATTTTAAAAAGAAGTATCTATGTAAGGATGTTCACGTATCTAACATCACTACAAGATTTAGGATGCGTTTTCCTGCTAGATATTATTTGCCCACATTAACACTTTTCGCGCTACTTAACTAAAATTCTTTTTTTTTATTTTATACATGACCTTAAACTTAAATATCAAAACTAAACGATCATTCATTAACTCATTATTGCCACTAAATGAGATCATTAACGGCTGATCTTTACGCTAGATAAAGAATTTGAAGAATTTTTTTTTAATGTTAAATGTTAGCCCTACACTATCACTTTTCGTGCCAATTAACAAATTTCTTTTTTCTCTAAAAATTATGAAAATTTAATCTTAAATTTACAACAAAAATTGTATATAACATTTTCAACTATGTGTAAATTAACGGAATTTGATATGATATCTTCATTTAAAATGTAACCAAACTGTTGCCTTTTTTTCTACTATCGTGTTGGAAAATCGTAACACAAAGAATTATTTTATATAAAAAAGAATCTCTTCCCCGTTTTTCACGTCTGTAACAGCCACGAGTGTCTTTTTCAGAAATGTTATTCCTCTCATAACAATAGACACGCCCACGTGCCTTTTCACAAAGAAAAACAAAAATATATTTTAATTTTTTTCACATAAAATCTTATTCCGCATCCATTTTTTTCTAAATTGAATTTTCACACGTGTAACATGATTGTGTTTTGATATTCATGAGTATTTATGTTAATGTACCCACCTTTATCAACGCCTTTGATTTTCTTAATTGTTAAACATATGTTTATTTGTAAAGAGAGAATGCAACATCTCTTTTTCAAAACTAATATATCAATGGGCTTGATATTGTCATCCACGTTAAAATGTACACATCCCATTTCTTCCCCCGATATGTATGTACGTAAGAAGGTTTATCATTCATCTAACTTATTCCTTTATTCTGAGGCGAATCTTGTGCTGCCTGGGGCAAGATAAAAGTACCGAACCAACCCCCCCCCTCTCGAGATTTTAGTAAAAATCAATATAATCATCCACCGGATTGTAGCCCCACTGGATACACAAACACACATTTTTTGCGCTTCATGCGGTTTTCATTTTCATGAGTGATAAGTGAATGCTATCTGGCTATGGGGTTTCGCTGCACTCATTGGCTTAAACGGTATTTTCTTTTCAAAGTGTATTTAAATGGTTAAGTTTTAATTATGTTGTTAATTTAATGAAAGCATATTCATGGAATTTTTTAAAAAAGGAAACAAATTATTAAATGTAAATAATACAAAGTTAATTTGTGTGTGTTTTTTATCAACAGTTTAAAAAGCAATCAGTTATATTTATTAATTTTAGTTTCAAGAAGAGGGAAATGCATGGTAAGTTTTTTTTTCACGCGTGGTTATTAAATCAATTAAACTTAAGACTTTTGGCTCAAATAGGCAATTCACGCTATGACGTCATTTTCGTGTTTATTGAGAACAATTAATTTTAATTTTATTTTGCAATATTAATAAAACACTAAAGAACGCACTAAACCCAATGGATGTTTGGGCTTTCCCGATAAAAGATATTATTATTAAATTATTATCTTTAGATCATATTTTTTTAGTAAAAAAAAAATTCATAACTTTTATAACTCAGAAAAATGCTTAAAATAGTTCCTTTATAATTAGTTTTTATGTATTTGTAATAATACTACTTAAACATTTACTAAATTAAAAGCAGATATATTTTATTTTTAGCTGATTTAAATTTATTCGATTTTGCGTAAAATAATACAAAATCACTATCATTGGTTTTAAAATCCGAATGTAATTAAATGGCTTCGTTTCTTTGGCGTTATGGTCAGCCTGGCTCATTCTTTTATATAGATAGATAGATACATACATTTTGTTTTAATGGTCGGAACAATATGATGCAAGTGCGGTTAGGGTTTATCTGAAATCAAAGTCAGTTTCATAAATGAAACTAAATGACGTCATCTATGGAGGACACGCCAAAGGAAAATAAAATATGCATCAGTGCTCCAGACAGCGGATAAGATATGTATTCTGACCTTTACTCGACGGCATTCCCCCGATGCGCCATTAATTATTCACAACCACTAGCGACACCTACATCTTGGAAAAAGACCAATGTCGAACCCTAGAGACGAGACACGAGCTTAGCAGAGCTTTTAATTATTTTTTTTTATTATTATTATTTTAAACTGTGCAACGTGCAGTGGCGTAGCGAGGGTGTTTGGCGCCCGGGGACAAGATTCGCGCCCGGGGACAAGATCCATTTTAAAGCGCCCCTTTTTCTTTTTTTCAACTCTCAAACCCATTATTTTCATCAATAAAATAATATCAAAGCACATTTTGGCGCCCCTAACTAGCTGGCGCCCGGGGACATCTGTCCCCCCTGCCCCACCACGCTACGCCTCTGGCAACGTGCCATGTGATTGGCGTGAAAGGGGATGGTTGAGAGATTGCAATGACACCGATGGAATCATAATAAATACGTAGAGTTACCAGATGTTGTTGTGTGTGTGTGTGTGTTTTTGGTTGTTGTTATCTTTTGGCTTGATGTCGATATTTAAAAATTGTTAACGACAGCCGTCTCAATGCTTTGAATGTCTGGCACTAATCCAACACATCAGAATAGAAGCTACAACGCTTCACATCTCAGCATGGACTGTTGGCGTGCAACAATGCTGTAAGGCAAGCGTGGCACTGCGTGCACCAGTTCGCTCATGAAAGGTTAATCTCCCGGATACAAAGTACACAAGGATCGGGAACTGCTAAGCCAAGCATGGGAGTAGAAATGTAATTTTTGAATGATGCTAAAAATAAAAACTGCATTTTGAGATGGGAATTTTTGCGATCGGACCAACCATAGCCCGGGGTCAAGGTTGCGTTTTCTTCAAAATACCAAACATTTTTCAAACCAGTGTTTAAAAAAATTAATTTACACTTAATTTTAAAAAGGGGTGGGGGGGGGGGGGGGGGAAACACAAAAAAAATATTTTTAAAATTTATTTTTTATTTTAAATAATAATTTCAAAAGTTTTATTATAATTACGTCTGGGCGTGAATCTGAGTGAAGAGACACATGTCTGAGATGAGAAGTGCGCACTTCTATCGCTGCCCACAGATACTACTTACCAGCTAAGTGCTATTTCTTATTGTTATTTTTATACCGTTTTTTTTTTCCTGTTGTTTTGTTCGCTGACGAAGGCTTTCTGCCGACACGTTCGCTGTTTTGTTGCGTTTTTTTTTCAGGTTTAACCCTACTCTGTTTTACTCATTTTATTTTGTACTAACCTGATTGCAATCTCTCCCCTTATTACCCCTTTTTTTTCTTAAATAGGTTTCATACAGGGAGAAAACTTGATTACATCTGATGTTCACTTCATTATTTCGACTACGCCCCTTGTAGCTTATTAACACCTCGAGTGAAACTTTAAAATTTCATCAGGAATTGTTAATCCAAAAAGCCATTTTTAAATAGAGGTGACATTTTTTTTTTTAAAACTCGTTTCAAGCGCTACATGTTCTACCTTTTTTGTGTTCACTGTTTTTTTATGGCATCCATATTATTATTTTTCTTGTTTATTTGCTTATTCATCTTGAAGGCATACTTAATGATGTGATCTGACTCGGTGAGATTAGAGGCTATCGGTCAAACACCTAGGCCAAATGTCAGGACCGACAGTATTGTCAATACTTACTTGTTATCATTTGTCATTAGTACTGGCGGTTGACTTGCAGCTTCGGTAACAGAATACCTTTACCCAGTTGCCTTTTGTTCTGAAGAAGGGGGGAAGGGGATGTTGTTACCATACCGGGAGTGCTTCTATTGACGTTTATTAAAAACGTAATAAAAAAATTGAGTGTGAGGGGGTTGGGGCTGAGAATGTGACATTTGCTGGCCAATGGCTCAGTTCGCCCACCCTTCACATGGCACTGGCTGCCACCCTGACCCTTTTTACTGTATAAATAGACCGGATTTCTTAAGGACAATTTATTAAAAGAC